TTGAGGCCAGATGTTGAAGCGACTGGAGCAGGACGAGCAAAAGTAGCAGGAGCGGTGGAATCAACAGTATTAATGGTAGTGGCAGTAGCAGTGGTAACAGCAGTTTCAGAAGGAGTGATAGGAGCAGCATTAGCAGTAGCAGTAGCAGTGGTGGCACCGGTAACAGTAGTAGTAGTTACAGCAGTAGTAGTTGTAGCAGGAGTAGCATTTATGACTAAATCATGAAATTGTGAATTACCGATAAACATATTGCAAATGATGCATAAAATGTTTATAAATGAACCTCAACCAAACGAATTCAGTCCATAGAAAATCAAGTTTGCGCACCAAAAAAATACAAGAAGGATCCATAAATAAGACTATTTATTTCATATTTTTGACACTATTTTTCAATGTTGATCCGTAAACCATGTAAAATTGCTCCTTGACTGCCTATCTAATGGGTGTTCAATAAAAAATGAGAATGATTTCAGTGCCGTCCAGCGCTCTTGTGAGAGCATCGCGACTAAGTTGCGTCGTACGGCTGACCAGGGCCTCTTCTCCAATATTCATTGACGTTTTTTTTTGAAGAATAAACATTATTTTTTCATTAAAAAATACTGAATTCGTTGAATTTTTTTTTTACTAGCTATATGACTGAAAAAATTCTCATTTTTTGTGGAACACCCGTTGCTCAAAATAACTGTCCTGAGCATGATTTTTTTTAGTTAGAGTAGCGGAGCGACGGGCAAGAGTCTAGAATTAGCTTCCAAAAGATGATTCCAAAAAGAAGCTTCCAAAAGATGCTTCAAAAAGAAGCTTTCAAAAGAAGCTTCCATAAGAAACTTTCCAAAAAAGCTAAAAAAGAAGCTTCCAAAATCACACCAGCAGCTTCCAAAAGAAGCTTCTAAAATAAGCTACCAAAATAACATTTCAAAAGAAACTTCCAAAAGAAGCTTCCAAAAAAAGCATCTTAAAGAAGCTTTTAAAAAAGCATCCAAAAGAAGCTTTCAAGAGAAGCTGCCAAGCTTGCAAATGAAATTTTCAAAAAAAAGCTTCTAAACAAATCCAAAAGAAGCTTCATAAAGCACACCAGCAGCTTCCAAAAGATGCTTCTTAAATTCTCAAACTTCCAATACAACCTTTCAATAGAAGCTTCCAAAATTGACAAATTTTATATGTCATACACAAACTTTACCACCTCTTCTTGCATCTTACAAACAACAATTATTATTTTAGTATCTCATTGTTTCATAATTACGAAAAATAGCATTTTAGCTGCAATGAGCATTTGTAAGCCTGGCTTCCAAAAGAAGCTTCCGAAAAAAGCTTCTGAAAGAAGCTTCAAAAAGAAGCTTCCAAAAGCACATCAACAGCTTCCAAAAGAAGCTTCTAAAATAAGTTTCCAAACTAACCTTTCAAAAGAAGCTTTCAAAATAATCTTCCAAAATAAGCTTCTAAAAAAAGCTTCCAAAGAAACTTCCAAAAGAAGCTTCCAAACGAAGCTTCAAAAAAAAGCTGCCCAAATAAGCTTCCAAAATAAGCTGCCAAAAAAGATTCCAAAAGAAACTTCCAAAGCAGCTTCCAATAGCACATCAGCAGCTTCCAAAAGAAGCTTTCAAAAGAAGCTTCCAAAGAAGCTTCCAAAAGAAGCTTCCAAAAGAAGCCTCCAAAAGAAGCTCCCAAAAGAAGCTGCCAAAAGAAGCTGCCAAAAGAAGCTTCCAAATGAAATTTCCAAAAAAAGCTTCCAAACGAATCCAAAAGATGCTCCATAAAGCACACCAGCTGCTTCAAAAGAAACTTCCAAAGAAGCTTCCAATAGCACACCAGCAGCTTACAAAAGAAGCTTTCAAAAGAAGTTTCTAAAAGAAGCTGCCAAAAGAAGCCTCCAAAAGAAGCTGCCAAAATAACCTTTCAAAAAAATTCTCCCAAAAGAAGCTATCAAAAGAAGCTTCCAAATAAATCTTCCATAATAAGTTTCTTTGATAATGTTTATTCAGAATCTTCTTATGAGGCTTCTTTAGAAGCTTTTTTAAGAATCTTTTAGAATATTCTTTCAGAAGCTCATTCTAAAAGCTTGCCCATCGCTTTGCTTCTCTGATTAAAAAAAAAATCACGGACACGTGAATCTGAGTAGCTATGCAGTAAAGGATACATTTTCCAAAGTTTTTGGATCAACATTAAAATAATAGTTTCCAAAACATTAAAAACATACGTCTTATTTATGGGTCATACCTTTATTTTTAAGAACGCAAACATGATTTTATATGGATCAAATTCGATTGATTGAGGTTCATTATTGAACGTTTGCAATTAATCACAATATGTTTATGGGTTATTTTTACACAGCAAAAACATAATTTTGATTTCACAGCAACTTGGATGCACTTCAATCGTGTCAAAAATATGGTGTAATATTACTTGCCAAAAAGGACAAAATTATCATTAATACAGTGCATGAGCTGACATTACACTGCTTTTACTGCATTTGTTTATTTTTGTGGCCATAAAAATCTCATGAGATTTTCGACATGATTGAAGTGCATCCTTTTGAATGTAATAATAATTTTTTTTTTGCTGTGAACAATTTCAAGGCTCATCCTTTAAAAATTTAGCGATACATTTTTATAATTGTGTTCCTGAATTTTACATAGAATATGGATGACATTCATATTTTTAATGGATTATTTACACTATTTTAAAGAGTTTATCCAATGTATGGATTATTTGGGTGTATTTTAAGGAGCGTTTTCAATTCTTCATTAATCATTTATTAGTTTCAGTATGCAAAAGTATATTTGCCGTGTAATTTCAATCCAGGATGGCCGATTTGTCTTCCTTTAACATTATTCATTTATTGAACACTGATGATCTATTCTGGAGTGGTCACCAAACAGTATTTAATGAGTACTAATTTCGAAATCCAACATATACATTAAAATTTATCTATACATTTTAGTCCATTCGAAAGTGATTTATTTTGATTTAAAAATGTTCTCAAAAGGGCTAAGATCTAATTTTTGGCCTAAACCTCACAATCTGCATTGACCTCTCTTTTTCGAACGGATTTTTTACACAATATGAAATATTGCTACTTCAGATGAATTCTAAATTTTTTGCCTTTCCATTGGTACCGTTGGATTTGATAAAGAGAAAAAATTGTTTATATTTTGTTATAAATATAACACTGCTTCCTAATTCGAAATTCGGCCTAAGAGTTCTACTTTCATACAAACACATAGGAAAGTAATTGGAGTTACTTTGTCATACGGATGATGGTAAAAATAAATAGAATCGTGCTTCATTTATTTTGGAGAACGAAGGGTGTAAATATTGATACTATGCGCTTTTGGAAGCTTTAAAAATGGGCAAATCACGTGTTTCTCTGATCTAAAGGGAGGCTTGAAAACCTTCAGCTTTGTTCGCTGGAAGTACAAAACATGCCATGGTTTTCCAATATTTCCTAGCAATCATCTCTTCATCTTCACATTGTAAGTCCCTAGACGGGATGCAGTTCCGAAACCCAGCCAACATCAAACAAGAACCCATCCGAAAATCGCATCCCATCAATGAAACGGACTTCTGGTCACGATTCTCCGCACCTTAACAATTTCACCCCTGCCTCCCCCCCCCCCCTCCACTCATTCGAGCCATGAATGAAGTCGCGTAAGTCATTTTCCCTTCCGACCAGATGCATCCCGAAAGCAGCCTTCCTTCATCGTTCCCCCTTTGATGTGTGTGTGTAATCTCAATTGACTTGAGGTTACGCGCGCGGAGCGCATCAAGAACCCTTGGCTGCCAAGAAATCCTGGCTGGGTAAAAAATCGACAGTTTAACTACACCCAGTTCTCGCGGAGGGTCCCGGGCGAAGGGAAGCGAAAAATCACGTAGTCCTTCCTATACGTAGCGGGCAGGCCAGCCATCGTCATCATCAAAGCGTAAGCCAAGAAGCCAGTTTCGCGTTCATCGGCTCTTGTACCGCGAGAGAAGAATAAGAACAAGAAGAAGAGGAAGACGAACGAACTGCGCTTTCGTTTCGGTTCGTTATCCTCCCCCTGGATCCGATGGGGTTGGTGGAGTGTGGACAAAAGGGGGTAACAGTGTTCGCTTAATGAGATTGCTATTCTCTTTTATGCTATTTCGGTGTGGTGATGTGGTGAAAGGGAGCGGTGAGAGAGGGAAAGCTGCAAACGATCGTGTTCAACGATCACCGATCGAAGCGTGTTCAATAAAGTGGATATGCGCGAGCGAGAGTTCGGCGAGTTGGAGAGAGGGAACGACGTTTGATCCCACCCTAAATCAGCGTGCGCGAACGCTGATGCGAGCCAATCAGAGCATGGTTCGATTCTGCTGGTAAGGTGCGCCCGGTGGAGCGAGTGAGATGGGTTGCTTCGGGGGTGCGAAAAGGATGGCGAAATCTCAGAGGTAGGAAACTCGATGAGTTTTATGCGCTGATGACCAACGAGGCCGGTACGATCGGAAACAAAGAATCGAAGAATGCGGGAAAATGGGGGAGAGAGCGATCGAGTGAGCGAGCTTTCGTTCGCTCTCTGGACAAAGAGACGATCGAGGCAGGCTGTTTTAACGGATTGGAATCGATGAAAACCATGCCATGTAGAGTGGGGTGGGAGAGCTTGAGCTTGCCGGAGTGGCTTTCGGGAGAGAATCGATCAAGCACATTGTGCGGTATTTGAACAAAAACCAAGGCGGAGACAGAAGCTGCTGCATAAAGAGGACTCGGTGATGAACAAACAAAAGGAATAGCGAAAGAAGAAGGTACCTTACCGCGGAGTGGTTTCCGCGGGCTCATAGTGATCCACATACAGGGAAGTGTGTTGGTATGGGATCGGGGTAGAAGCACCTTACGGTGGTGGCGCATGAGTACGCAACAGGTTCAGGTTGTAGTTTGAGCGCGCGCTCTCTCTTATGTGGCCCGTATGTTACAGTTCGTCGGCTTTAGCAGGACAGGTTCCTGACTAGTCGTCGTTGTAGTAGTTAGTAGCAGTTAAGGTGAGCTTTATGCTCTCGCTCGCGTCGTGATCGTCGCGTGTGGATGAGAGCAGAATCGGAAAACAACAACAGAAACTGTATCGATCAGCTCCAGTACACACGGGTCTGGACCAAGAAGGTCACGGTTAGATCGCGACGATCTCCAGCGAACAGTGTTTGTGCAAACGTCGAGCCAGCGGGTTGGCTTTCTAACATTGGGCTCTCTTCCCATCTCCTTCCGCGTTGTGTTTTGTTTTGCTGCTGGCCAGTGTGAATAGGTCGTCCGGGACTTGTACTCCCGGTTTTTGAGTTGTTCGGTTTCTTAGCGAAGTGTTTCGTTTGTTTGTTTTGTGTCGTGTGATCGCGCTTTCGGCAGGACTTTGGTGTCGTTGTGTCTACCCCGTCGGTACTCGCGGATAAATGCGTGCAATAGCAACCTTCCGGTGTACCTGAACGTTGAAGATCTGTTATTACTAGAAAGTAAAATAAAGAGAATTTATGGTTCTGGTCCAAGATCATCCGCCGAAGCAAACTCTTTGTCCGTTCTGTTTGAAATGTCATCAATCGAAAACTCGCCAAGTGCCAAGTGCTGTGTGAAACTGTGAATTGCAATAAATTTGCGTATGAAAAATTCAAGTGCTTGAAATAGAAAAACAGATTGTGAATGATCAAGTGACAGCTGGTGAACAGAAATTAAAAAAAATATATGATGGAAACCTGTGTACTGATACCGCAGGAGTTCGCCCTGGCCGTGACGGGCTCGGGGGCGCGCAACTCCCGTGACCAAACGGCCACCGTTTGGTCCAACTCGGCGATCTCGCAGGGAACGCTCTGCTATCCCTTCCAGGGAACGGTCCGGATCGACAACCTGGACGTCTACAGCTACGTGGACGAAGATGATGTAAGTACCCCTAGTGTCTGAATTCATTGCGAGGGTGTTGACCGTACGGGAAGTTTCCGATACACTTCCGTGAGCAACGTGCGAACCTCTGCGGAAGGAAAGTCAGCCAGGCGTGAAAGGAAATTCTCTGACCAACAACAACAACAGAACCAACCAGAAGGATGGGCGACGGCTTTTTTCAAGACGTTCACTCCGTCTTGGTTCTTGCGTGCGTATCCTCCCATGACGGTGGGAAGTGAGATATGTATGGCGCATTTGAGAGTGTCTTAGAAGTTGTTGAAGTTGTTGAGGGTGGAACGTCTTGGAAGACGTTGTTAGTTTTTGGGGACTTGGAAAAGGGAGCTCGCTGAAGCGAGAAGGATGTTTTTCACTGTTCACAAGGAGGAACTTTCTAGACACTAGGAAACCGGTGACACCGTTGTTTACGGTTGAAAATGAGGACATGCTAATTACGGGTATGATCGGTGTGTGAAGCAAATTAAAACTGTACGAGACTTGCGAGTTGGAGTTGGTCATGCTTTGTTATTAGCGTATCAACAATAAACCAAAACTTATACGTTTGTGTGCGTGTTTTTAATCAGTTTTTTTTTTTATATTCAAGACCTGGGTGCCAAAATTAAAGCTTCCCCTATGTATCTGAGCGCTTGAAAACGCTTGATAATTTTGGATATTTTTAAAATGAGTGTTGCAACTTTTCAGAAACTTTATCGAAACAACATCTTACGTGCTTTGAAAAATTTAAACAATTATTCAAGCAATTAACGTGCCCTTTTTTGCAATATAAGGCTGGTATGCGACTAATATAAAGTTTGGAGGACCAATATTTTCCTTATATTTAAACAAGTGCGATTTGCCGGCACTTAGGGTTGATGCATATATTATTTCACGCTCTAAGGGAGGAAGGGGGGTCTAAGATTTTGTGACAAGCAATGCATTAGGTATAGGAAAAACGTAACGATAGGGGTGATGGATGGGGGGGGGGATAAATTTTTCCTCGATTGAGCGTGACATAATTAATGCATGGGCCCTTAGTTGGTTAGTTATTATGAATTGTGGGAAATACATATTTAATTGAGCTACACGATCAAATTGCCAGTAATGAATTTACAAAAGTGACCAAAACACCCGCTAATTACTCCTTTGCATTATAAAGCTGATATACGACTTATATAGGACTTTCAAACATTAAATTTCGTCTATATGAGCCGGGTTGGGTTTTTTAGTGTGCACGGAAGGGGTGGTAATCAACTCTAAAATTCGCAGCGTCAATCATTTTGTTTCAATAGGAGCTTATTTTGAGCCTTTGGAAAACCTTTAATCCGTAAAATTAGTGTACACACACTTAGATATAACTACTTTTACACGGGACGCAATCCATTTTGGACGTAAATCATGAACGTAAACAAACATGTCATGTAAAATTAAGTGTTTTCAAAGCGAAACATAAGCAACTCGACGAAGAGAACATTTGATTGACTTGATTTTCTCGTTTCGTTCAACTGATTCTTATGTTAAAAGGGCCACTTACATGTGTCGGTCTCAGGGAACTGAAATTTACATGACTTTTTCGTGGTGTGTACACACTTGGAAAAATTGATGTAAATTTAGGTGCTCTGAAAGTGACATATACGAGCGTCAATATTGACATTAATTTAAATCATAACAGACGCGAAATATAGCTCGATCAAATGTACTTTTCGTCGAGCAACGAACTTTTCAGTCTCGGATTAGTTAATATTACATGACATGTTTGTTTACGTCTCAACTTTTATGTCAAAGATGGATTCCATCACGTGTAAAATTAGTTATTTCTAAGTGTGTAGCCCCCTCCCCCTCCACTGCACATGCTGGAGCTTTAATCAGGAGGCATGCCATCATGAAGACTTCTATGTTCTCAATATGAAGTTTATAAGCCATGTCCAAGAAACAATTTCGGTTTTATCAGGGTTCTGTGCTCCATGATTTACACTTGTACACGCTTAGAAATACCTAATCTTACACGTGACAAAGTCCACATTTGACATTAAGGATGAGACGTAATCAAACATGTCATGCTCATGTGCTTCGAGACTGAAAAGTTCAAAAGTAAGTTTGATTGAGCTGAATTTGTCAAATTTGATGCTTGATGTTAGCCTCAGATCACCTACATTTACAGCAATTTTTCTAAGTGTGTAGAATGCCTTATAACCGCAATAAAACTGGCGTTGTTACTTGGATGTATTTGTCGTAAATTAACTCTATGTAGCCAAAACAAAATAGCAGGATCGTAGCTTTTAGTTTACTCTTCAAACTAACTCATGTTCCGAAACAGGACATCTCAGAACTTATTTGAACCTTATGAAGTGTGTTTTACACAAATATTATCTTTTTCGTCTACGTAATGAAGTTTAATATATTAGGAGAGCAATAAATCACTGCAGGCATTTTTTTTTAAATAAATTTGAAATTGAAAACGGATATGGGAATTCTTTTTAGAAATGCAAGGAATTTTCCGAAGACATTTCAAATGTTGAGAGGACATGAATTTTGTTTATAGTAGTTCTGCAAACTTGGAGCATTTCCAGAAAAGCCTAAATCTTGAACGAGTCTCAACGATTTGGATGAATTTTTTAACGTGTCTTCGGTATGGAAGACAATGTGTTTTACGTAGTTTCAAGATACCATTTCAATTCATGTCTAATTTTTCAGAAGGGCATATTTTTTATTTTTTTTTATTATAGTTACTTTCAGGGTTGTTTCCACTCACTCGCAATAAAAAAAATGTTTTTTTGGAATTATGAAATCATTCGTCATCACCCCAATGATAATTTGTACTAGCTAGTTAAAAGAAGAGATTGTAAAGTATGTGTTTGACTCATAAAACCTGCCAATTTCGCTTTCAGAGCGTCGCAGTCAGCGATTTTATGATTCGTGAGCGTTCACTCAGAGTGAGTGCTCACGAATCGTAAAATCGCTTATTGTGACGCTGTGAAAGCAATATTGACAGGTTTTATGTGTCAAACACATACTTTATAACCTTTTCTTGTAACTAACAAATTCAGATTATCATTACAATGTCTAAAGATTTCGTAATTCCGAAAAAAAGTTTTTTATAGCAAGTGAGTGGAAGCAACCCTGGATAGTTTAACACTCTTGGGTCATTTGTGACTTGTCTGAGATAAGATTTGAACTCATGTCTGTGGCGTGAGAGGTATGGACGACAACCACAACGCCGGGGCCGTCTACAAAAGGGCGTATGTGTTTTCAAATATGCATTTTTTCAAAGAATCATTAGTCAAAAACTGTTATTTGTTATGAAATTGTGACTGAGAATCAATTGGGTTTTGTAGAAAAAATATACCCGGAAAACGATATTTTTAAATTTTTTTTCAAGAACTACAAAATTATATTTTAAATGCAAGTTGTGAATCGCGCTGATGTACGATTTATGATTTTTTTTTCAGTCATAAACATATTTTAAGAATTTTTCTTTGTTAAAGAGTTGTTTAGATTTTCTTTCTTTACTTGAATCATTACCTAAGCAGCTATTTAGGTTTTATGAGGGTTCTGCAGACTATGATTTAGACTTGTAGCATGCGTTAAAACCGTGATAAAACTTGCAATGTTACTTATGTAGTTAGGTAGGTTTTGATCCTGCACGTTGTAGTTTCATTTTATTCCTGATCTTGACATCCCAAGTAACATTGCAGGTTTTATCGTGGTTTTATAGCATTATACAAGTCTAAATCATGGTCTATAGAACCCTCATAAATCCAAAATTGTTGCTTGGGATGCTTAACTTGGAATTGACTACTTGAAGGGTTTGGATTTCAGTGAGTTTTCAGCGGGAATGACACCGATGAAGACGGCACGTTTTAGTTGAATTTTTTTTTTCTACATGCAAATTTGTATGTGGAATGAAATGGATAATAAGTACCATTTTTGCTCTTATAAGAATATATTTTTTTGGTAATTTTTGAGTCGCTTGCATTTTGAAATCTACACAACTGAATCTCATCAAACTTACAGGATGTTAACAATTTACGTAAAAATAAAAGACATTTCAACAAATGTTTGGCGTGAGCATGGGCATGCGACACATCTAAATCTCAAGTATAGATGGTTGGAAAAATTCACGCTAGCGAATCTATTTACGAAAAAGATTTTTTCATCTATTCTAAATCCATCTACTCGCATCGCTCTTCAAACTTTTACAGGAAATCTTCGAAATCTTCATCAATCTTCTTGCTGTCTTTCAAGCGTGCGCGCAATTCACAGCAAAGTGAATTTTTCCCTGCATCTTAGATAGAGTCGCCCCCCCCCGTTACCTAGTTTAAAATTTTCTGTAATTTTGAAAATGTTCATGACCGTAATTTGACAAAAGGAGGTTAAATGTTCAACAAGCTTGACTTATGTTTTGCGTGTCCTTCGAAATATCCAATTTATTTATTGTTTAGTTTTATAGGGTGCATTTAATACTAATGAGATGTTTAAATGCCCTATTTTAGCAGTAAATCAGCCCACCATGGTAAAAAATAAAATAATTTCGGGGTTTGTTGATTACTTCCCGGGGTTCCCTGGATTCATTTTGGAATTGAAAGATTTTTGTAGTGATTGAAATTTTTTGAAAAATGATGTTGAGTTTGCGAACGTTAATAGATGCAGTTAGTTAGACATTAGTTAGTCATTGGTTATCATTTTTTGTTTGTTTCAATCAGAAAAAATCTTATTCAAGTATGCTTTATTTAACACGATTTAATTCTGGGCTGCAGTGCTGATGAAAATCATTTCTTCTACACTCAACTTAGCTGAAAATGAAGACAACCTTAACAGATAGACCAACTACCTGCATGGATTTTTAATTTGGACCAGGAGGGCTCTATCCCTGTTAACCACATGTAGATGCACTGTAGCTCACATGATTTTGAAATTTTTTTGACAATTTGACACTTTTGGGCATACTGACAGCGGCAAAACTGACGGAGGTACGACAAAACAAAACAGCTAACTCTTTCACACTT